CTTTAATGTTCAGCGTATGGCACTTTATCGTTTATCACAATAAAATTTGTGGGAAAATAAGAAGGTACCTGCCTTACGTTTCACAATTGGTGTCCTTGAATTCTTGTACTGTGTTGATGGGAAGTGAGCTGCTTATCCTAGGATGTACAAAAAATGCTACCTGGCATTTTGATTTTGGGTGAAATCTCCAGCTGTAATTTGTGACTTTAAGACAGAGAGTATGATAGTTTTCTAAGACACCAGTTCATTTGTTGAGCTCACGCACACTCATGGTCAAACACATGTGGCCTTGCTTTGTATCTTCCAATACTTCCCGGGGGGGAAACAGTCACATCTGGAAGCACAACAGTTTAGGGAAATAACATGCCCAAGTGAGGTTATACACAATCTCAGAAAGACAAAAAACTATTAAAATAAGGTAACAATCAGGCTAAACTTCTCTAATTCTGCTCACTGAGAGGACAGTCATTGAGGTAAGGTGCTAGAGAATCACATGGCTCAGAGTTCACCTTAGCCAACAAAGAAGGGGTGTGCTCTCACTGGCAAGAAACGATGCCCTAGGGGGCTGGCCCCGTGGCCGAGTGTTTAAGTTCGCGCGCTCCACTGCAGGCGGCCCAGTGTTTCGTTAGTTCGAATCCTGGGCGCGGACATGGCACTGCTCATCAGACCACGCTGAGGCAGCGTCCCACATGCCACAACTAGAAGGACCCACAATGAAGAATATTACAACTATGTACGAGGGAGCTTTGGGGAGAAAAAGGAAAAAATAAAAATCTTTAAAAAAAAAAAAACTCATTTGTAATCTTTAAAAAAAAAAAAAAAAGAAACGATGCCCTAGGTTCCTGGCAATTCAAGCTACACCTGAAAGAATTTGCCAGGCTGCAGCACACTGAGAACTAGGACCTATTTATGTGGGCTGGTTGCCTTTTATAGCACATTTAAGAGTTATAAAATTGTACAAGGTATTGAAGTGAGGCAAAAATTGTTAGTCCATTTGTAGCAGTAATATTTATAAATTTGTTCCATAAGTTGTAACCTGAAAAGACTCATTTCAAATGTTCTCACCTGGTTACTAAACAAGTAGTGCACATTGGCAAAGAAAGTCTAGGAAGAAGTGATAAGGGAGTTCCTGCAGATTCTAATTTAAGATAAAGTATCGCCTAAGAAATCCCAGACCTCATATCTGAGCTCAGTTTTCCCAATAATTCCCTAAAGAAAGGCCTTTTAGCTTATTCTACCATAATTCTATTTTTATTTTGCTTATTTTCTATCACTTTCACTGATCAATGACTTCTGTTTAAACTTTTATATACTCTTTAAATAATTAATGATTTGAATAAATTTATGGTTTTATGCATATTTGCTTAGCAACTAACTATGATTCTGGAAATTGGATTTTATTAGCAAGACAGAACGAATGTTTAGTAGAAAAAGCACTGATTTGTGAGCCAGGAGGCTTGCTGTAAAATGTTTACTTTTTAAGAATGAGCTCAATGTATAATATAAATCAAGAGCATCTGCCTAATTATTGGAGTCTGAGTAAAGCACATGTTTTCTCTCAAATATGCCCTTTCCCTTTGGTTCAGTAGGGAGCAGGCCAAAATCTTAATGCTAACATATATGTAAAACATGATTTAGGGCTAACCTTCCCCTCCCTCAAAGACAATGCATGGAATTTGAAATAACAGTAACAATACATATAAGAATCTACATAGAAAAAAAGGGCACAGAAATAATTAATATACTACCAATATCCATTGAGCAATTTGGAACATGCACAGTTTAGGACAGAAGTAGTTAAGCACAGTAGTAGTTTAGCAGTTTTTTAAAAGGTTATGATGAACTGGAGTCTGACGTAGTACCCTTACAGTTCCTATTATCACACATTAGGCCCGCAGATAAGCTACAAGAACTTGCTGTGGAATAAAGCAGCCCTGTTGACAGATTTCTACAAAAGCAAGGTCAGCGTCAACTCCTAGGTACATTCCTCAGAAACTTCAGCCAAGAGCAGCAGAGCAAGGAAGCACAAAGGAGAAGAGAAAGATGGCAATGGGATCCAGCCACACCATTTAAAATCTTCTGATCAATCTCACGCATGAACACAAAGCACATACTACTATGCACTCAATGGTAATAAATTCATACATGTCCCTAGGCACTCCCAATTAGTTAGCTGAAGAATTATATTTGGGGCCTATTTTGAATTAATTTAATCCTTTATCTAGACATTTTGAATAGAGGACAAATCGAAAAATGGTTAAATGCATTTAATTAAACTTTCTTTAAAAATCGAATGTAGTTTTTCTTTAGATACAGAAATAGATTTTTGCTTGTTTGCTTTAATTCTTACAATTTGATGAACTAAAATAGTATTCTTTAACTAAAGTTTCAAAATGGCGTTCCCTTGAGGCCAACAACATAGAAAATAAAAAGCAGCACCTGAGGTGATCCTCTAAACTCACTGCTTTGCAAATAGAGCTTTAACTTTTTGGGTATCGCAGGGCCCTTTAAGATCCCTGTGCCTGCTGAGGCCTTTTCCCTAGAAAAATGCAATAAACACATCTTTTTTCACAGGCTTCAGGGACTCCTTGAACACCATAAATAGACCACAAGTTGACTCTCTTATCTGGCTGGGAATGTACTAACACTGTTATTTCAAAAGTCTCTTTAGAAACCGACATTGAGAACAAGGACAGCGGAGGAGGGCGAGTATCTGCAGTGGGCACACATCCCACCCAGGGTGCTGTAGTCGCGGTATTACTATTATTTTTGGTGGCCCTAACTTTCACGTAGCAGAAAAACAACTGAGGTTAGCAAAAGGCAATGCAAAGGATGGATTTAGTTCAGTGGGAAGAGAGCAAATTCCTGCATACCCTAAAGAGAGGGAAGCTTCTTCCTGTTTCCAGAGGAACAAGAGGACCATCCTTTAACCCCTGATTAGCTCTGAGGAAACCTGTCTTTAAATGAAGTTAAAATTAACAGACATTAGAATAGGACCTAAGCTCATATTTATTTAGGTTATCAATAATCACCAATGGCTGTTATGAATATTAGCATTGTTAATAAGAGGTAAATTTGGTTAACTATGTAGCACAATACTCTCACAATTTTCATCTTTGTTTAAAATACCTGGAAGAGTTGTACTTAACTGCAAAACATTGTCAGTTATTTTGTACCCCTGCAGAACTGTTTATAAGTATTTCTCGTGTATACTGTCACATAAAGATTGTTCTAGAATACTTTCAATTGAGTTCTACATGCTACAAATTATGTGAAAGAACCATGGCACTTTAAAAAAATTGTTGCCACTGAACCATTGGTTAGAATTTCCCTTAACGTGTAGCAATAAGCTTCAACAATTTACGTTGGCCCTGGTTGACTTTTCATTTTGATGCTATATACCAACAGCTTGTGGTATGCTTTCAGAGAAAAACAAAAGCTATATAAATGAAATTATTATTAAATCTATACTACTCTGATTCATGTAGTTATAAAGTAAAAACTATATATACTTTTATGAAACTTAATTATTACATAGTTTTGCATTTTGGCTTAATTCCTACTTTATTGTTTTGCCAACAAGACTGCCAACTCCTTAAGCTTTACAGCTAGTCAAGAATTAAATCTGCATTAAATAGAGAATTAATGTGTCTTTGGGGTTTAATTTTTAAATTAATAGCAAAGTGCGATGTCAGAAGAGTCAATGTACCAAAAAATTGAACAGAAAATCAAAATTCATTGAAACAATTCCTGTTTGCTCAGTAGTATACTTTTTACATTCACTGAACATCCCCTTGCCTTTCTCATAATTAAAAAGTTAATTATTGGAATCATATTTTTTGTGGATCTGAGTTTTCAAAGAATGTGATTTAAATGATGTTATTAATATTTTTACAGCACTCTGAGCAACACTAATCCTAACATTGATCCTAACATTAATGTAATGCTGTTTTGTACATAATTATATTTAATTGTCTATTCTAAACAGAATTTTGAATTTAATTCTATGCTAAAGATCCTGCTAAAGTACTAAAAATTAAGAATCTTATGGTTTGAATATTTCACTATAATCTTTTAAAGCCAGCAGTTAAATAAATAAATATTTCCTTGGTTTAGAATTTATGCTCTCCTAGCTTTCAGAAGTTATTAAATACTACAAACAAAGTTTTAAACTACTATAAACTGTGATGATACTATAACGAGCACAGTTAGTCTGGGGCCTACTTTTCTTTTCCGTGATTGAAACAGATGAAATAAATAAGAATGCACAAATGTAGCATATTAAAACCATAACAATTTTAAAAATTCAAGATTAATTGACCTAAACAACTAATGAGGCCAACTCCCTGTCAAAAGTACATTTGGGAATGCTTTTCCAAAGATATTATAATCGGCTCAAACTTAGTTTTTAATTATTAAGTCTTATTAAAAAGTCTTATTTTGTTGAAAATTATCACTTTTTAAAAAATAAATTGCACTGGATTTATGTACAAAGCACAACCTCTACTATCTATTTGCACAGAAAGAAACAAACAAAATGCCTAAAAGCTTATCAGACTCTTTAGGGACAAATCAGTCAGAAATCTATTAACTGTAGATTCAGAACATCTCTATTACAATTACCCTAATCTGTAGTAGAATAAACTTTCTTATTTTTTAAAAGCTTAGTTACCAGTATTCCTTAAGAGTCACTATCTGAAGGAAAGGCCTTATCTATGATTTCAAATTGTAATCTCCTGCAAACAAGACAAGTTAGCCAATAGTAAAAAGCAGGGGAGCAGACACAGAGAGCAGCAAGTGGTGAACGCTTCCTCACATCTTACCAACAGCTCCTTTCTTAAGATCATCTTTAAAGAAATATAAATCTCAGTTCAGTAGCCTTGTGCAACCAATCTTTTAAACCTTAGAACAACCTAAAATCCAAAAACTTCTCCAATGAATTAACATACCAATTCCTCAATTAAGTTATTTCAGCTGTTGTAATCATACACCTGACACGCTTGATTTGAAATGTGGTCTTTTTTTAAGTTTACTTGAATGAAGGAATTTTAAACATCACAATTTTTTGATTAAATAATATTAAAACTGATAAGGATCCGAGATTGATGTAAAATAACAGAAACCTCTAATTATGGTGTGCAGGATTTGCAATTACTATTAACAACAACGCTTTGAATTTTTCACATCAAAAAAAACATTTCTCATCAGAACAGTAAACTACACAGAGTTTCAACAATTTTCACTGTTATTGGTAATTATTTATAGGAATAGTTCCCATGAATGCTTGATAACTATGAACTACATTTTCTTTAGATCGCATCAAATTAGAGAATATCTACTGTAAAATATCTCTAATATTTCTTTTTCAGGCTCCACCTGCTCTATGCTGCCCACTATAGGAAATGCAATATGGTACAAAGAAATGTAATACTATGCACTAGGGTTACCAACAGTGCAATCCCATAAAAAAATATTCTCTACGTACTTGGGTGCTAAAATAGGGTATTCTTGCAAGAGATACAGACTGATTAGTGGTAACCAAATTTATTAAATATAAAGAACATCAGTAGGAACAGACAAGACCAGAAACTCTATCTTGGTAATCCACACGCCAGGAGTAGCAACCGGGTGCGGCAGGGGACCGGGCGTGGAACTTAGTGATTCAGGCGCAGCCTGCAGAAAGATGCAATTCTGCACTAGAGAGGAAATATGAAGGTCAAAATCAACAGAAAACGAAACACCTCAAAAAAAGAAAATCATGCAAATACAAATGATTGCTGCAACTGGAAAAAACATTTGAAATAAATTATTCGTAGACTGCATATTTAAATTTTTCAGATGAATCTTCCTGAAACCTTTACATTCCTCTTACAAGCAAATACCATTAATAGCTTACTTTTGCCTTACATTCTTCTAGTCTTGGGGAAGTTGAACCAAGTAGTAATCTGATAAACATCAAGCTTTATGGTTTTTTTTCTTTGACTAGAAGATATTCAAAGTGTTATGAATTTAAATTCTATCCATCAGATATACTTTAGGACTCCATTTTGAAGATGACAGTTTCTTCTGCAGAAAAGGAATTTTTTTTTTCCAAGCGTCAATTCTCCAGTGACATATCACATCTTAAATTTTTAAAAAAAGCATTAAAACGTTAGTATCACACTCCGGGTTTTTAGCCCTGATATTTGTCCTGAAAAGCCAAACACACTACTGTAACATATCCATGTGTGTATAATACACACAAACACACATTAATGGCAAGCAGTCAGTGCTTAAAAGTAGTAATCTTCCCTTGAAAAACAAAAATATAAAATGTCACCCTTCCATTCTGCCCTTCGAATTAGAATTAAGGCAAGCAGGTTTGCCCACTGCAGGGTGGGATACGAGAAAAGACGTCCTAACGTCTAACCTGAGACATTGTTTACAATCCCGGGTCCCGACTCGGACGATTGAAATGTCAGTGTACGTGCCTTCCTTCCCACTCCTGCCCCATCAACACCATCCAGGGCCCGGGTCCGGGCCGCGACCACCCGGCGCGCCGGGGCTGCCGGAATCCGCGAGTACCGCCCGCTCGGGCCAACCCGGCTCCCGGCCGACCGACCGCGAGTCCCCGCAGCTGGGTCTCCGGGGCTCCCAAGGCCTCCGGCGTAGACGAGGGGCACCGACCGGGCTGGGCCGTGCACTCTGGCATTTACAAACTACCCAAAAGTCTCACTGCACAAGTGGCGCGGCGGGAGGTGCCGCTGCCGTCCGCATCGCTCGGTCCCCGTCCCCTCGCAGCGGGCCGGGCGGCCCAGGCGACCCTCCGCGAAATCGCGGGCAGCTGCTGGGAGAGTGGGACAGCCACCAAGACGCCGCGGCAAGTCCTTGGAGCAGTCAGCCGCAGCTTTCCCATCTCCCTTTAGTTACAATTACCCCGGCGGCTTCTGGCGCTTCCTTCGACAAAAAGGAAAAAAAAGAAGTCCAAAAAGCGTGGAGGTGCTGGAAGTCGCTGACAGTTTCTGTCGAATGAGATCCCTTCGGCTCCATCCCTCAAGGAAGATTTCCAAACTCGGATGCATCCTCAGCGGAGGTATTCCATGTTGACAGATCTCTCGCCTCCCACAAAATGGGGCCGAGGAGGCGGCCGCTGTCTCCTCTATGGGCGCCGCCATTTTGTGAGGCGGCGGCGGCGGCGGCGGCGGCAGGAACCCGGGGTGTGTGTAATGGTTGAATAGAATGACCCCCTCTAGGGAATCCCCGGCGCTGACAGTTACGTAAGGGGCTGTGCGTAAGTGCCGCGTTTAGGGAATCCGCACAGCCCGGGCCACGCAGCTCTGCGGCCCACATCTCCACCACCCCTAAGAGGACCGGTGGGGGAAGGGACAGATGACCGGGTCTCCCTCGTACCCCGCCCCTCCTCGCCGCGGGCCCTGGCCCAGCCGCCCCCCTCCCCCGGCCGGGTCTCCGCCCCTCACTGGCTTCCGAGACACTCACTGGCCCTTGGGTGTCAGGAACTTCCTAGCCACAACCTTATGCCGACCCCGTTTAAGAGACAAACTTTACTTGGGAAATAAATCCGTTTCCTAGAGGGAGCACCGGAAGCATGCTGGAGTATATTACATAATTTTTCTCACCACCGAATAAACGTTCCTATTGGAACCACTACCTGACATCATAAGCCATCCAGAACTTTACTAGCCTGTGACCTTGGGTTAGTCAGTGACTTTGTCCGCCGTGGCCATCACCAAAATGGGGATAATGATAAGCCTCACATATTGTGAAGCTTAATTAATGTTTGCAGCAGAGGGCCGACTCCAACACCCCTTGTGAATGCAAACTTAGGTGGTAGTATTTGTTGAGATGTTGTCTTCCATTTAAGCAGCTTTTTTTTAACCTTCAAAATTATTTTAAACGAGGATGGCATTTAAGACATTTGAAAGAAAGCAAGGGAAAACATCAGGTTCTATTCAACCTTTATTTTAAGCGCATCTACCTTTAAAATACCTTAATATAAAAACATAAATGTTAATTGTCAAAGTTTAAAGGATTGCTTCCCAACCAGTTTAATTACCGTTTGCGTAACTCAGCATAGAATAATCTAGCTTGATTTGTGAAATCAATCCAAGGCGAGATGAATTAAGAGCATTACTCTATTTCTGCAGAACTAGGACAGACAGTTCACAACGTATTTAATTTATAGTTTGCTAAAGTTAGTTTGTGGATAATTCAGGGAAAATGTGCTAACCAGGCCCCAAAATACTAGCACAAGGCTCAGAAAAGCCGTTTCCTTTCGACTTTAAAAAAATAAAAAAGGTAACAAATTGACTTTATCCCGACGTGTGAAGGATGCGTAGCGTGAGGAGCTGCCCCTCTGAGCTTCCTTTCCCTCGCGAGCGCCACACCGGTTCTGTCGGGCGGGCGGGGACGCCGAGGCGGCCCTTCCAACAGCCGGGCCGGGGACGCGAACATCGCCTCCACCCCTAACCCTGGAACAACCGGTAGTGGCCGTTTCCCCGCGCCGCCCCCCTTTCCGCCGGCTTTGTGTGCGTGTGAAATGTGCGGCACATTGCAGATGAACCCTAAGCCCGGCGAGCCGAGTCTATTGTTCCCCGCGAGGAGCTGCCGGGGCGGTGTGGAGCCAGGCGCAGTGCCGCGGCCGGCCCTCGGGGGTCGCTGTGCGGCGCTGGCTGCCCGGCCGTGGCGGCGGCGCTGGCGGCGGCAGAGAGGGAGGCTGGCGGGGAGGGAAGCGGGCGGGCGGCGCGCAGCGGCTCGGCTGCCGCCGGTGCCTTCTGCCCGGGGCCGCCCGGGCCGCCGCGCCGAGGCCGCGCGTGAATGTGTGCGAGGGCCCCGCGGAGCTGCGGCCGCGATACACGCTGTCACCGCGCCTTCCACAAACCACCACACAGACCTCCCCCTCCCCACCCCCAGCCCCGCCTGCCCCAGCCCCGCCGCCGTCGCCGCCGCGGCCGCCGAGAGCCCCGGCCTCCGGCCGCCCCGGGCCCTCGCCGTCGGCTCGCCTTGCCCCTCGCCCGCCCGCCCGCGCGCCCCCGGCAGCAGCACCATGTTGAATCGCGTCCCCGGGCCGAGGCGCCTGGGCCGGCGGCGCTGAGAGGCGGGCGAGAGCCGGGCCGCGGGGAGGGAGGGAAGGAAGGGGTGGGGGCCGCGCTCGCCCCGCGGCTTCGCGCGGATCCGGCAGTCGCCTGCCCCTCTAGTTTCGCTCCGATTTCTTTAAACTTTTTTAGAAATTCCCCTCCCTCCTTCCCTCCTCTCCCCCTGGCCTCCTGCTCCCTCCTTCCCCTCCTCCTCCTCCTCCTCCCCCTCCCTCCCTCCCTCCCTGCGCCGCCGCCGCCGCCGCCGCCGCCGCCGCCGCCGCCACCGCCGGCCCATGACTGAGCCCCGCCGCCGCCGGCCGAGGAATGGGCTCCGGGCTCTGGTAGGAAGCGCAGGGAGCGGGGGGCGCTTTTAAAACACCGATCCGGGGTTTTCGGAAACCTCCTTTGAACAAATAATGGCAAACTCGACGGGGAAGGCGCCTCCGGACGAGCGGAGAAAGGGACTCGCTTTCCTGGACGAGCTGCGGCAGTTCCACCACAGCAGAGGGTGAGAGCAGAACCGGGGGGGCAGCGCCGGGGCGAGCCGGGGCGAACGGGCTCTCCCGCCCGGGCCGGCCGCGGGGTCCCGGCTGACAAGTGCGGGGCTTTCTCTCGCCCGCAGGTCGCCTTTTAAAAAAATCCCTGCGGTGGGTGGGAAGGAGCTGGATCTTCACGGTCTCTACACCAGAGTCACTACTTTAGGCGGATTCGCGAAGGTGAGTGGAAGTTTTAATTTGTATTTCCCTCTCGCTGGCCTCCTCCGAAAAGTCTCCTTTGACCCCGGGGTGGGCGCTCGGGGCCGGGGGGGTGGCCTGCGGGGGCCACAGGCGTGCTTTTCGCTCCCAGCCGGTGGCACGGAGGCGGACGGCGGCGGGCTGTTTTTGGCCTGGTGGCTCGCGTGCGCGCGGCGGGCGCGGGGCTCGGCGGGCGGGCGGGCGGCCCGGCGCCGGCTCGCGCCCTGCCCGGTGCCCGGCCGGCCCGGCGGGGTCTGAGCGGCGCGGCGGGGAGTGCGGGCGTGCGGGGCGCCCGGCCGAGCCCCGCGCCCGCCCCGCGCCTGCCCGCCCGCACGCCCGCCCGCTCGCTCGTCAGCTCTGCCGCCGCTGCCGCTCTAGCACAGGCGGAGACACAGAGACACACAGACTCTGAGAGCAGTTTTCGTGCAACTCAAAATTAGCGCGGGCAGGTTTCACATCGATAATCGGCTGCGAAATGATCCCGGCAGCCGGGGGCACAGCCTCGGCCCCGTCGCCCTCGGTTTCTCCGGCTAACAAAAGAAACCAGGACCTGTCTCCAAATAGCCATCTTAGGCTTCAAGGCTAGGCAGAAGCTGTAGGCCTCAAAGAAGGGCCTATGGAGATGGATAGATCTGGGAGAGGGAGCGGAATCGGCCCCGGCCCGGGCCCCCCCAGAACCTGCGGACGTCGCTGTCCGGAACAGTATTGATCCTTTTGAACTTTTTTTTTTTTTCGTGGAAACGGACCGCGTTGAGATTTAAAAGGGGGCGACAGAGGGACTTGCGATTGGTTATTGTCCGGGCTTCAAAAACAAAACAAACCCACCAGCACCCCCCCTCCCGCCCCCCAAACAAAACAAGTGCTGTTAAATACAGGGCTCTCGGGTGGAAAACAGAGTGATTCCAGTAGCCCTAGCTTAGTAACTCTTACGGATCGATCCCAAACCCCCACTGATGCCCGAGGTCCCTTCGGATCTCTGCAGAATGGGTATTTATTTCACAGTTAGGGTAGAGTTGTCTTGGATTGTGCACTTTCAGACAGATGTGGCTGTGTTTTTAACAGGTTTCTGAGAAGAATCAGTGGGGAGAAATTGTTGAAGAGTTCAACTTTCCCAGAAGTTGTTCTAACGCTGCCTTTGCTTTAAAACAGTATTACTTGCGGTGAGTAGTAGTGACTCTTCCACAGTATTTGGAAATAAGGGGCTTATGGGGAGATTTGTTTTAAGCAAACGCCCCCCTCCCCCAGGACAAACCTTGCACACCAAACAGTTTCTAAACTTCTGTTAATTTCAGTCTGAGGAACATTAAATATCCGTGAAGGGAGGTTGTAGGGAGGTGAAAGTTTTCCTCGCCTATTTTAAGATTGTTTACATTTTTTATACAGAATCATTACAGGTGACACCCCCCCATCTTGGTAAACATTCTTTTGTGACATTGTTATTGATCGCTTGATATGCACAGAGGGGCAGAAAGGTGATGCTTAGTAAAAGAGTTAAGATAGTTAATGAAACTTTGTATCCCTTGGGGAAATTTTTTCTTTGTTTTGGAAACTCCTTTGCCTTTTTAAATTCTGACCTCAAGATTTTTAAAAAATGAAACCTCTTGTGTGGAACCGTGTCACTGAGTAGTTTTTAAGTAGAATATTTTTACATAGCATAACATGTTGGTGTCTTAGGTGACCAGGATTGTTTTTAGAATAATTTTTTTTTTGGTATTTTTGAGTGACTTGCTTCAAAAGGATTATATATTTAGGGAACTTAGAGATACTCTGAAACGGAATACTATGATTTGGATTTTCTTTCATTCTCCCCCCCTTTCTGACTGTTTATTTGACAACGTAAATTTCATATTCAGTTGGTATGTGAAAGAGTTTAGATAATATATTTTGTGATTCAGCTTTTTTTCTCCCAGTTTTTCTCCTAGGAATATTTTCATATTGCAACTTATTATGAGGTCATCTTTTATTTTTAATGTTTACTTACCCATAGAGGATCCTTAGTTGGTGGTGGTTATTTAAAACTAAAATAGTGGTCTTCATATTTATTGCTTTTTAATAATGATATTATAGGATGGTCTTTTAGATAATGTGGCTTCTGCATAATTTGAGTTTGGCATTTATCATTGCTCCAAATGCAATATCCAAATGTGGCTATTCTGTGTTGTGTTCAGTATTCTGAAATAGGAAATGCAGTAATTGCACAGGTGTACTTTCTATTGGCTATCTTAGATTGACTTTAGGCTTGAAGCTGAAGAGTTCGCAGAACTTTGAGGGTAGTTACTGAGTTACACAGAAGTCTAGGAAATATTAAATATGGTTAGTTGTTATCTATATCGTGTGTATGTATGATGGCATGTGTGTCAGAGTACGTTTTTAAATAAAGGACTAAAATTAAAATCAAAGTAAAACCAAATCAACCTCCAAAACTGTTGATTTAGTAAAGTGGTGAGAAGTAGAGACTTATATTTATGGTGATATTCACTGCTTATTTTCATGTATAATATTGAGAGGAATACTGTTAATACTTCTCCTGGTTTTCTGGTGATCAGTTTGAATCATTTGGATTTTAGAGTGTTTAAGGTACACATTTTAAACGTATACCTGATATTTATTGGGTTGATTGATTGATTGAAATTTAATATCCGAAAGGTACGGTAGGATATATGTAGTTCATGAGATGTGTGTTTCTGAAGAATTTACATTTGTAGTAAAGGGTTTTAGCATAGTCAATTAAATGGCTAGGCTTCCAGTTTTTTACAAGTTATGTAAATATTGTTTTTCTAGTTGTGATTTCTATCTTGGGATGATATCATCCATTGATTATACTTAGAGGTAATATTTTTAACTATATGGTTTCAAGGTTGTTTGCATCTCTTTACATTGTTCTCAGATCAATTTGAGCTTTATGCTCTTATTAGAAGCTGCTTTTTGAACTATGTCCTTAGCTAAACTTGTTTTTCCTCCATATGTCACTCTCCAGGTTTGTTTTTGTAGGGTTGTAGCTAGGCTACTAGGAAAAAAGTTGAAGCATTTGTTTTGGAAAATAAAACCATGTGAAGATTTGCATGGCTTGTAAAGAAATACAAAAGAAATATGCTGGTCAAAAATTGGGTACTACCAACCTTGAAAGATTTTTCCCATGGTGGTGTAATATTGCACAGTTAGAGGACATGCGTTATGCCGGCTTTTACACCTTCCTCTGAAAAATCTTAACTGGCAGACAGGATGCCAAGCTTTCACAGTAATTCTGTTACTTAACCATAAGAGTGCCTCTTCATAGTAAGAAATAGTAATCAGGTGACTTTGTGAGTTCCCTCTTTGCTATATCACATTGAATATCATAATTTCTGATGAGCAGATAATGCAGTATGTTCGATAAATCACAGGTGGAATAATTTTTTTTAACATGAACTGCTTTTTCATTTGACCTGTTATCAGACTGTCATTACATGTGTTAGTTCTCATTTACTCTACAAGTTTAATATTTGCTGACATTCCTCTAATTTTATTATTAATTGGATGGATGGCTGTTAGCCTGGTATTTTATGATATATCTGCATGATATTACAGACATTTAAATAAAGAAGAGCAAACTAGTATGCTGGCCATGTATATATTCTAACATTTTTATGTTTGTTTTGACACAAACGTGCGCTAGTCATTAAATATAGAGACTTGAGTTTAGTGGTCTGCCAAAAGTTAGCTTGATTGTGTCAAACATATATTTATATAGTTGTATATTGTCCACAAAAATTTCTCAGAGTCTAAAATTGAAGATGCAGTTGATTATTTGTTTTAATATTGGCATTTAAATTTTTTAAATGTAACTGTCCACAGATAATTAGAAGTACTCTGTTTAAAGATTGGATATTAATCATCTGTGAGGTCTGTATATTTTGTTTTCGCTTAATTCCTTTTTAGGCATGTACATCTCAATATATTCCGCAAATGTTTACTATTACAAGATCCCTCTAAGTATAAAGGATAAGGTGCAATTTCCCACATCTTGTAGATGGAGAGATTAAAGTGCAGAAAAAAATCCAAATGGCTTTAGGGGCATTCACTAATTGGACAAAAATGTTGTATTCCTGACATGTGTTCAGTAATATTTAATCACTCTATTATGAATTCAGTTTGTTAGTCACAAATGATTTTAAGAAATTAAAATATAATTGGAAATTACATATGGTTAAATTTATGTTCCAGTGTATCTGTACCCAATGTGTTCCATATTCACTCAGTGGATTTTTTTGTTGTTGTTGTTCTATTTTGGTGCTGAGATTGGAGGACAATTTACTGCTATTATTCCTGTTAAGAATTTGAAGTCTTGGTATGAAGGTTTAGGGGTAAATATTTCAAATACTTAGTTGAAGAATTTTGTTTTAGCTTACTGTCAGTAGTACAGCTATAGCTGAGGTTAACTTAATGTTTCCATTATAAAACTTGATTTTTTGGAAAGGTGGTAAAATATCTTAGACATT